TTTTTTGGGGGGGGGGGGGGTTGCTGTCTGTACTGTCCACTTGGTTTAGTTACAGGTGTGTGTATAATTCTTAATTTGGTTTCAAAGTTCTCGTTCTTTGTAGGGCTGATTTTCTTACAGTTCTTCCAAACACGTCTTAACCTTGTTCTGGCTGAAACAACTGTAGTTGCCTTTGTGTCGTTGTCGCCTGCCATTTAGGAACTTGCATTGTGACATTTTCTTCTGTTGGACTTTGTCTGTACACATCATTGGAAATTTGATTTTAGAATGGAAATCAGCATCTGGAGGCCTGAAAGTATGACCAAATCTTAGTGGCATAGGATGAAATAAAGAAATGTTACTAGTGTAAAGATTTCATACCTGCTGCTCAATTTATGTTTTATATTTTAGGTAGAAATAGAGAAACTGAAGAAAGCTGTCCAGTCTTCTTGAAGAGGCACAGACCCAGAATTTTTAATGATACGGGGACTCAGAAGCAAAACTATGAACTTCAGTTGACTTGTTACTTAAAAATAACAAATTCTGATGCTGTGGTAAAGAAATATGAGTATATGAACTATAATATCTATAGAAAAGTAGGGGGAGCGTGAATTTTTTTATATATTTTGTTTTGCCAATATGAGAAAAAAAAGAGGCCTTATTTCTTATGTGCTGGGATTGCAAACTTCTTTTTTAGTTTGCTTGAAAATACTACTGAATCTGTATAAAACGGAAAATTCACAATAGTTTTTTTATTGAAACTTGTAGTATTATTTTTAAAGAGATCTATACTATAAATATGGTGATATCTTTACAAATAATCTGTAAAATATACTATTTGAGAGGGACAATTAGCTTTATAGTAACTCCAGTCACTACTTTTCACATACATTATACATAAGGGATATATACTTTTTTTGTGTGTGTGTGTATATATATATATATATGTATTCTTTCACTTTTAGCTTCTTACCCAGGATTACACTGTTGTGCCTGTTTGTTTGCAGTGCTGTTTATATTCTGGGCGATGAAATAGGAGTTTCCTAGCTATATACCAGATTACTCAACCGTGCATTTAGTTAATATCTAATGAATTAATCAAAATAATTCTGCTTATAGAATATTTTATATTGCTTGCACTATAGGATTTATAAAATGAATTTAGTTAAGATGTTTTGGATTGTTAAATACTTTTGGGAAAATAGGAGCTCTATTTTAAATTCATTGGGTCTAAACAGCAAAAAATGTCAATTTAACCCTTACCTTGTGCCTAGAAACTACAGCACATACATATTATGCAAACACCAGCCTTATTGCTGTGCTTTTCTGCTTATTTTTCAGGCTTATATATTATTCATTTCATAATCTTGTGATTTAATCCTCTATACTGCTCCCTCTTGTTTTTAATAGTGTAATATTAGGAAAACAAAACTCAAAACTTTCAGAAGTTCAATGTGCGGTTTCATACTTTGACAAGTTATCATTATGTAAATGCTCAGGTTTTACAACATTTAGTTAACCTATAGACTAAATTGAGTGGTGGAGATATATTTTTCCTTTAAAGTTTTGATCTTACAATTCTGAAATCTTGTGTTAATGAAATTTTGTCACATTTTAAATAAAATAACTGAAGCAGAAAATAATAGAAATTCCAATACATAATTACTTCATGTTAAAGTCCTTGGGCTCTTCTGATGAGGTCACTGCTGAACAAAATTGCTCATTCCTATTCTAATGTTTTTAAATGACTTGTCAAGTGAATGACTTCCTTCTTGTTAAATAAGTTAGATCTTATTTTCTTTTAATGAAAGTCTTCAAGTAGATATAAAAACAGTGTATCCTAAAAATCCTCCTCCAGCTTTCTGTCTGGAAAAATCTGTAAGTAACCCCTCCTCGCTCTAAGTTTCCAACAGATTTCAGGCTGTTCTTAAAGTTTCTGTTGGTCATTTTCTCACTAGCCCATAAAGTCAAGATGGTCATGAGTCTGGAAATACATTTAAAGTATTTGCTTATAAACTTCCTCAGTGAGAATAGAAAAGTAATGAAAGTACTGTCTCTATTTTTCTGCCATTAACCAAAAAGTAAAGAAAACCAAACAAACTCATACTCAGAGGGAAAACTGATAACTTTAATCTAGCAACTTACCAGTATTTGTTCTTGATATGGGAATTCTGTTAATTCTTGTTCATAAAGTTTATAACACAAAATGCTATGTCATAATAATAGCCTTTACTTGGGGATAAATCATTTGCTATGAGTGAGCATAAATGACAGACGAGAGGTGGATAGCACAGACTCTGTCATTGCCAAGTTATTTGTGAATGTATTGTTCAGGAATTGCTACTCTTTGAAACACAATATTACTAATTTTCCTAATTGTGTTCTGATATTAGAAATAGTGTGTGTGTGCACGCGCGCGCCTGTGACCACAAGCTTCTTTCCAAAAGTTATTCTGAAACTTCTTTAGAAAATTTAAGTCTGTAGATAGGAAGGGAAAGTGGGCCTGGAGTAACAGATGGTTCTTTTTTATATGCTTCTTACTGTGATCATAGAAAAAAACCCAAGTGCTCTCTAGGTGTCTTGGTAAACATTTTATGCTTGCATTTAAACTTGAAATGTATGAACAGAATGAGACAATCAGTTGAAACCAGAAATGAGAAGCGTTACAAACTTAATGGCCTTGTTTTGCTATAGCAATAAAATGACCAAGTGCAATGACTTGATTTAGTAAAATCTTTTAGAAGTTGCTGCTATGAATATTTTTAGCCATAAAATTTTACCCTTGTTTTTGCCTGACTTGCCTTTAGTAACTATTATGTAATGCGGTTGGTGGTATGGTATGCTAACATTCCCGGGTGGGTGGGAAAATATATATAAAAACTCAAAACTCACTGACATGTTTACAGGCGCTGTAAAAAAGCATGCTACTCCTTCAAAAGGAAAAATTAATAAAGAATACTATTGCCAGTCGTGTCAGTCTCTATTGGTTATTTTTCATTAACTTTAGCATATGCTAATTGCAGAGTACAGTGAAAATTATATTACTTTCAGTTTTGTAAGTAAAAGAAATAATGTAAATAGTAAAATGAAAGCATTTAAAGTTCTAGACCCAAGTGATGTTTACTAAACATTTATGAGTCTGTCTTTTCACCTAGAACTGTGAGGTAATATTTTCTACATCAAAGGAATATTGGGGGAATTGGAAATAATTTATATGAAGTATCTTATAGAGTGCTTGGCATGGAGTAGATTTTTTTTTAAATGGAAGCTTTTTTCTCCAAAGCATTTTACAGTGATGGCAATGATTAAGAGAAAGGAGGCCTAGTACTTCCTTTCGTTGGGGGAGATACCCCTTTCATTTGTATTATATTCATAGTGGCGCTGCTACTATCTTACAGATTCTATCTCCTTGGCCACACAGTGACTGGCAGAAGGGAGAGTACTTTGCCCAAGTTGTGTTGTCTTAAGAGACTGAGATTTTAAAATTTTGAAACACAAAGAGCTAGTCTCAGCATGGGAGCTCTCCGCAGTTCTATTCATCGGTCACCTGGAAAAAAGCTGATTTGAAAGAACTCATTTAATATTGCGAAAAGAGATGGAAACAACCCACAAGGATTTTAAAAACATTACAAATCATTCCTGAGCCCCACCTACCCATGCGTTACTTGGATCCTTAAGCGTAAACTTGCTCATAAATTTGGGCTCCTGAACTTACAGCCGGAAGCCCTGGTAAATATGAAAAGCAAGGGAGAGTGAGGACGACATCAAGGCCTATGCACCCGCGTTGGAAACAAGCCGCGTGCGGACTCCAGGCTTCCTGGAATCCGCTGTAAGAACTGAATCAGGAGTAAGACACCACTGCGGTGCGCCAAACCTCGGTGGAGTACAGCTCACCTCGGGGTGGGGGCAATCAAGATACTTGGTCGGCCGGCTGGAGGGGGTGGCTGCTGAGGCAGAGTTGGGGGGCGGGGCGGTGCTGCGCCTGCTCTACCACTTGCGGGGCGCAGGCGGCAACTGTTGTCAAAACGTGACCCCGAGCGCCCGCGNGTGCGGCGGACGCGGGAGACCTCCGTGGGTGGCGGCGCTGTGCCTGCTCTGGTTAAGCGCTCAGCGCAGGCGGCCACTCTCAACACGGTGGTCCTGGGCGCCCTCCTGCTCCTGGTGACCTTGTCTCTGTGCCGCACACGCGCTGTGCGCCTGGTTCGCGTCCTGCCCCCACCACACCCCGCGCCGCAGGTCTAGGCGCTCGGCAAGCACCCACTGCCCGACCCCTGCCGATGCTCGGGCAGGATTGCGGGGTTCGGGGAGCGGGACGCAGGTGCAGCGTGTTGACACTGCAGAACGGGATGGGGGGGGCGCGCAGTGCTGTGCCTGCTCTGGTAAGAGCTCAGCTGACCCCAAACATTGTCCCCCTGCCCCCTGCGCCACCGGAATTTCCCGAATGCGTGGCTGACCGGCTCCCGCAGCTCGCTCGCCGCCCGCCTTCCTCTCAGACGTCCGATCTCTGTGCCCTGCGGCGGGCGGTCAGTAAGCAGCAGTTTGCGGCTTCGTTTGCAGCTCTGATGGTCCTACGTCTGCTCCAGACGCTACAGAGAGCTTCGGGTCTCACTCTGCTCTTCAGGTTGCCGAGCGGCTCCCACCGCCTTCCTCTTAGACTCAGGCGTCTCTTCCTCGGGATTCCTTCAGCAGCACCTCCCGTGAGGTTAGAGATGTGTCCTGTGGGGAAGCCACACCGCTGCCCACTTTCTCCAGGGAATGGCCTGAGCCAGAGCCGAGGCCACCGAACCAGGCGGCCATGGCTGCGGGTCACAGGACTGACCTGCTCTGCTCTGCCAAAAGCGTCCAGGGCAGTTGGACAGGCCACCAGCCGTCCAGGAATTGCTGTGCGGGTGGGGCTAGGATCCAACTGCAGTGACCCGTTGCTGGGCAACGCCTGAATTGGGGACCTTCCAGCTGGGGCACCTGGGAAGGGGGAGGCCTGGCCTGGGCCTGACAAGGGGCCCTTCTCCAGTGACTCTGCCCTGAGGACGCTCCTCTGTTTCCTCTGTCTCAGAAAACGCACATTGCCTTTGGCTTTCTGGTCACACAGCTTAGGTCCTGCAGCTTGTGGTTTCCACGCCATCATTTTTTTACATTTGAGGTTGAATTCGCACAATGATGCCCATCCCTCTTAAGAGCACAAGTGGGCCCGTCTGAGCCAATGTCCACACCTGGGCAGTGGCCCCGGCACTAGTCACCTTTCCATCACCATTTATGTTGCCCACGGTTGCAGAGCTGTCAGTAGTGAGGGTTGTCTCAGTCGCCCTACACATGGGCTTGCCAGGCTCGCTCTGACCACTGATCTAGAAACAGATAAGTTGATAAACATTTGCTGTGTTTGTAGGTGACACCAGATTGGAGGATATGCTTGTTAGAATTGGAAAGCTTAGCAAGGAGTAAGACTTGGGGCAGAGTGGGTAGGAACTACGCGGGACTTTTGGTTTGGTGCCGTCCGAGGAGGGAAGCTGGTGGAACACATCGGAATGTTAATGGAATGATGCATTTTAGAGGGAGAAGGGATGAAGGAATGCTGCCCTCGAGGAAGTCTGAGGCGAAGGGACCGAGCTCCTGGGAAGGGACACGTTTTGACAGGAAGGCAGACAGGAGGGAAGGAAAAGGTGGGGGTGGATGCAGGGGGTTTGTGGTTTGGAGGAGAGAAGTGGGTAGAGTTACATCCGATGGCTATGGTTTCTGTTTTCTCCGCAAAATGTCAGGTGGCGTTGATAAGGTGAGGGGTGGGGAGAAGTTTTCTCAGTGCTTTGGAGAGAGCGAATGTACTAGTCGCCCAGGATCGTGGGAAAGCGAGCCTGCCAGTGAATCACAGCAGGATTGCTTTTAAAAACAAGATGAAAATACAGCAGCTTGACAGCCGCCCATCCCAAAGAAGCCTGTTCGAGCCGACGCACATTTAATGTGAGTCCAACCTCATTGTAGCCACTGTCTCCGGAGGTGGTCAGCTCTTCGTTACTGGAAGTGTTTCACCTGGAAGTCTGGTCTACAAAGCCAGTCCCTAAGATCTTCTGCCAGTTTAAGTCTCTATCATAAAATTTTCTCGTAAGCTGAACTCTCATGAAACGATAGTTCAGAATTCCTTTGCTAAGGTGTCCAATGTTGGATGCTCAGAAGTTGTATCTTAAGTAGAGAGGTGGTTATTGAAGAATGGAGAGGATATGTATCTATTCATAAAATATTATTTTCCTGGTATATGCCAAGCAGTCTGTTAGGTTTGGGGGAAATAAGCAAAATCTGGGTCTCTGGCCTATAGGAGCTCACAATCTGTTGTGAGACGGGCAAGAAACAGAGCGTTGTCACCAGAGGTATTCCTTCCTCTAAGCACTTGGGGAGCTCATGTTTGCTGAGCTCCTACAAAGTGTCAGGCACTGATCTAGGTCCTGGGGATGCAGCAGTAATGAAACTGACNCCACAAAGTGTCAGGCACTGATCTAGGTCCTGGAAATGCAGCAGTAATGAAACTGACTGGGTTCCTGCCCCCGTAACCCTTGGGGAACAAGGTCAACCAATAACCTTCCCAAGCAAGGTCACTTTGATGCATTGTGTAGATGAAAAGTGAGTGGAATATGAGGCAGGGACTGGGGCTGCTTTAGGCAGGGGTTAGGAGTATCAGTTAAGCTGCTTTGGCCACAGGCAATAGAAGACCTTGCCGTAGCACAAGTCTTAGGAGCATTAATTTTTTATTTTAAAAGCCCAGGGGTTATTGATCCCAGGGTGGGTTTAGTAACTTAGTGGTGTCATTAAGGACCGAGGCTCTCCCGTCCTCCCCTTCCCCTACGCTCAGCATTTGGCATTTTCCTCAGACTTGTCGCTTCATGGTTGCAAGGTGGTTGCCAGAGCTGCAGGCATTACATTCCCTTGCAGGTTTGAAAGCAGAGGGGAGACAGAGGCAGGGAAAGGGGGGCAAGATAAGCTTTTCCCCAGCGTGTCTCTCCCATTTTATCAGGAAAAAATCCTTCCTAGAAGCTCAGTCTCTTCCAGCTGACTTCTCCCTAAAACTCATTGAACACAAATAGTCACCTGTCTACATCTAATTCAGTGACCAGAAAAGAAAAGTGGCCACAGTGGGTGCAAAATCAGTATGAGTCATCAAATGTAGATATCTGACAACAAAGAAGCAGAGTGACCTTCGGTAGGCAAATGGCCGCAGCCAAATCAGGGAATGCTTCTCTGAGGAGGTGACATTTGAACTCAAATCTAAACGATGAGCTGATGGTTGCCAAAGGGGTGTGGGTGGGGGGG